CAGGGGAGGCGCTTCCGTCCCCTGCCGACTCCCATTTTGTGAGTCTTTAAGGTGCTCCCGACCTCTTGCTCTTTCCTATGGATTCAGTACAAGGTCATTCCATATGTGTTGGGGGGGCTGTTGTGGTGAGTCATGGTTTTCAACAGAAAAATTAGCATCAAGATTGGGGGGGGGATAGCTGGTGGTGTCAAGGCCCAGCTGTGAGTCATGATGCCGCCTCCTCCTCCTCCATGGGCTACAGGACAGGAAACCGCAGCTCCCCCCCTCCCCCAGGGAACCTTCTCTGTGTACCCTGGAGAATACCCCCCCTCCAGGGGCCAAAATCTCAAGTCTTCCTGAGTTGCTTGTCAGCAGCTGTTGTGCTTGCCGTGCTGGCAACCTTAGACTGTCTCCAGATGTGCTTGTGAGGGCCGTGGTTTTCATGTGACGTCTCCTGTTGTTCCATTGTTGATTACTTTAATAACATTATTGTTATTGTTGTTGTTGTTATTATTATTATTATTAGGCTTCTGCCCAGCCGTGGCAGCTTAAGTGCTGGCTCCCCCTTGGACCAGTTTGGTGTAGTGGTTAAGTGTGCGGACTCTGATCTGGGATTCCCCACTTCTCCACTTGCACCTGCTGGATGACCTTGGGCAAGCTGTAGTTCTGATAAGAGCTGTTCTTGAAAAAGAGCAGTTTCTGTCAAGAGCTCTCTCAGCCCCACCTGCCTTCCAGGGTGTCTGTTGTGGGGAGGGGAAGGGGAAGGAGACTAAGCCGCTCTGAAACTCCTTTGGGTAGTGAAGGGCGGGGCATAAACCCAAACTCTTCTTCTTCTCTTCTTGTGGCAGCGCAGCATAAAGAGCTCTCTCAGCCCCACCTACCCCACAGGGCATCTGTTGTGGGGAGGGGGAGAGAAAGCTGCTCAGAGACTTCTTCGGGTAGTGAAGGGCGGGATACAAATCCAATCTCCTCTTCTTCTTTGTGGGGAGTCATGGTGCCCATTCAGCCACGGCTGAATTTTCGGGGGAAAGAACTCAACCTCATAAGGGGGTTGGTTGCTTAAGCTCTCCTTCCTTTTGGGGAGAGGAAGGTTCAGTCCAGGTTGCCTCCTGTTCAAAGGGGGCGTCTTCCCAATCCATCCCCAGAAAGAGCGCCGAAATATACATGGAAAGAAAATGTGTACATTCGCTACGAAGAGTCTACGGCCCACAAAAGGCTGTGGAATGGAGTGGGGCAGATCAAAACCTCCTCCCTTTTCCTTGCCCACCCAGGGTGCTTTTGCAGGTGGTGGAGTGGTTCTCCTCCATCTCTTGGCCTGATTCCTGGCTGCTCGTGGCCTTGGCAGGTTGGTCTGCTCTCATTTGGCTGGTCAGGTCTGTTTCTCACCACGCCCTCCATGTGGTGAGGGGTGGCACTTGCCGTGTTCTTCAGGACTTCATCGCTTAGCAGTTTAGGACAGGCTGAATCTTGGATGTCGCCCCTCTCAAAAGAAAGAAAGAAAAAGGTTCACTGTCCTAAAATCAGTGTGGGAAATACTCCCCCGGTCACTAGCCCTCCTCCTCCTCCTCCTCCAATAGAAAATGTGATCCAGCCAGAGCTGCGCTTGTCGACTCTGTGGCGTTTCCTTTTCTGCTGGATCGGGCTGCCTTTTGTTCAGAGCGGGCGTTGAGAGGACTGTTTTGAATGGAGGTGGTGGAGGTGGGGTGGGGTGGGGGACACATGGATGAACCCGTCCTTTTGGTCCACTCATCTACTCAGACTGTCCGTGGCTCTCCAGGGGCCCAGGCACTGGTCTTTC